TCAGGAAGTTAAAGCTTGGTCGCAAATGGGTCTTCCAAATGGACAATGACCCCAAGCATACTTCCAAAGTATTGGCAAAATGGCTTAAGGACAACAAAGTCAAGGTATTGGAGTGGCCATCACAAAGCCCTGACCTCAATCCAATAGAAAATGTGTGGGCAGAATTGAAAAAGCGTGTGCGAGCAAGGAGGCCTATAAACCTGACTCAGTTACACCAGCTCTGTCAGGAGGAATGGGCCAAAATTCACCCAACTTATTGTGGGAAGCTCGTGGAAGGCTACCTGAAACGTTTGACCCAAGTTAAACAATTTAAAGGCAATGCTACCAGATACTAATTGAGTGTATGTAAACTTCTGACCCACTGGGAATGTGATGAAAGAAATAAAAGCTGAAATAAATCATTCTGTCTACTATTATTCAGACATTTCACATTCTTAAAATAAAGTGGTGATCCTAACTGACCTAAGACAGGGAATTTTTACTAGGATTAAATGTCAGCAATTGTGAAAAACTGAGTTTAAATGTATTTGGCTAAGGTGTATGTAAACTTTCGACTTCAACTGTATGTTACCTCTGTAGTAGTCAGTCACCTTATTGTCCAGCCACCACCCCTACAGGCCCTCATATGGATTCTGGGAAACAAAGGAACACAGTAGTTTCAAAACATAAATAACCTTGCCTTGCTTCCAGCAGAGAATAATGCTGTTTGTCCCTCTTCTAGCATGATCTCAGGCTCAGGAATTCCTATAGGCCATCCTATTCTTCCTACATACATTGAACATGGACACTTCTGGCATGGTTTTTCCATCTCCATATCCTCTACCATAGTTGTTTTGAAAGTCTTGAAAATGGACATACCACCACACTGAATTTGAGGCATGTTTGGGCACTGTCTGCAATGCGTGGGTGTAAGCTTATCTTTGTTTAGTGTTCTCAGGTCCTTTTATTCCTGTTGAGCTTAGTAATTCACTTTGTCGGGCATTTAATGAACATGAAATAAAACCTTTTTTCTTTCTTCAGAAATCACAACACACATGCCAGCATTAAAACAATATTGATTCATCAAGAAAAGCTCATGCAGGAGGAGTGTAGGGCAAATTTGTCTACCCATGGCTGTATCTCAATAGTAGTATAGCCCCTTTTCCTTCCTGACGGCTGATCTGAAACAACATAACAGGTGAAAGAAATGTGGCTGAAATCAATTCATTTCACCTATCAGTATTAATTAAGGAAAGGAGATAAGGAAAGGAAGTAATAGAGTACTGAGACAGCCTTCTGTCTGATTGGATATACGCACGTGAACAACAAGTGGTGTATGTGCGCCATCTGGTGGTTACTCGTAAAGAGCTCAGTATTCACATCCTCTTTAAAAAATTGCATTGACCTGCTTGCACAGTGTTTTTTATTTATTAATACCAATGTTTTCCTTTGGATGTTTCAGAAATTTTTATTTTGATGTATTGTTGAATGATATTATTATATAATATTTGCCACTATTGCTCTCCAGTAACTATTCTGTTGTACCTCTAAAAATAAACTCACAAATAAAAAACAGAAACATTCTACCTGACATTCTTGGATGAATTACCCATACGTACACATGCTTAGCTTGTTTTGTTAAAAATATTAATCAAAAGTAATGTCACTTATGTTTACATCCAATGCATTCCAATATGTCAAATAACATTACAGCATCAACAGCAATTTACAGTAATTACAAGTGAACCAAACATCAGGCTAAATTATAGGTTGCCCAACAATTGCAGTTTTTTTTTATGATGGAAGGAATTATGGGGCTTAGTAAAAGTTAGGACAATTACAGTGATGGGTCCAAGACAAACAAAAAAACATTTGGAGAGGTAGTTTCTGCCTCCTTCTCCTGTAGTGGTGTTTATACAGTAAACCAGTTGGTGCCACTGAGCTTGAGGTCCGCTCTTGTGAGAAAGGACCAATGTCCCAATGGAGATATAATCCCACTGCAACATCCAGTGAACAGGTGACTGTCCGTTGGTAATGACAATACAATCAGTACACTAATAAGAGTTTCACTAAATTGATGGCTTTCCCTATTCTATCACTAAGGCACCAATAACAGTTAGTCCAGATCTATTTATGTGAGTCTGGCATAAATTGAATGTTTGAAAGTTTCAAATTATGTGCAAGTCACTCTGCTTGGAATGACATAAGCTTTGACGACGTTGTGTATGTTTATCATTGGGCTCTGCATATGCATATGGACTGAATTAATCCAATACCACATCCCTCTGTGGTGTCTTCTTGAACTTCAACCTATGATTAAAATAATATCCATCCATCTCTCTAATCACCAAGGAGATTAATTGGCTTCTATCCACCTTCTAGTCTATTCGGCACTGCTGTAACACTCCATAGTGTCAGTGTCTCAAAGCAGCTTTTTGGTTGATTTGTTTGTTCGTTTTTTTGTTCTCCCTCCGTAGTCCCTGAGGTAATTAACAAGCAGTCTCTTCCATCCTCTCTGTCTCTCCATACTGAACAACTCCAGCTAGTAGTAGTTCCTGGTCTTGGGTGTCTTGGGTCTTGAGTGTCTGCTTTTTTCACTTATTCCCAGTACTCCAAAATATGTTGGTGTCCCCCTCCAGCCCCACTACTCCCTCATATATTGGGGTCCCCCTCCAGTTTTGTCAGGTCAGTGGCGGTCCCCATGAACATGCTCTTTCCCCTATCCAGCCGGCTCTTCATGTCAGTCAGCCGGAAGGCCTCCATGAACTCGTTAATGTTGCCATCCTGGTTGGTGTCTATGGTGATGGACAGGTCTGAGATGGCCTCATCAGTGATCTCCATCTTTAAGTCAGCACTCAGCAGCTCCCACGTCTGACGGAAGTCCTCCATTGTGATAAACCCTGGAGGAGAGAGGGGAGGAGGAGGGGAGGGAGAGGCAGGAGAAAGGGGGAGAATGGTAGAGAGGGGAGGGAGAAGGAGGAGAGAGAGAGAGGGAGGAGAAAAGTGGAGGAGAGATGGAGAGCCAGTGGGAGTAGGGGAGAGATATGTAGCAGGGCTGGCTTCAGTTAGCTGGATGTGACACTAGGAGATCAGTGGGTTAATTCTCAATTTAACTTCGAGAGTCAGCCACCACCTGCTGCTGACATTAGTTTTAACACCCCACAGATGGATTACAGGGTGATTGGCCTCAATAACTACGGCGTCTGAGTGTACGCACGCAAACTACACATCCCAAACAAATAACCGAGTCAACACAGGTAACAGGTGATTGACGTCTTGTGGGATTGTAGTGTCGAGACAATGATGCTGATTATGCTGTGATGACAAGAAATCCGCTGACACTGTCCTCGATTATAATGGTTTATTACATCAAAGATTTCAGCGTCAATTTACAGATTTCTGCAGAAAATCCGGAGAACAACCAACCCAATCTCTAATATGTTATTTCTCCCCGTCCTTTGTTCCAACCCTGGTATTTATAATATGTAACATAATATGGGTGGTTTTTCATTAGACCAATCCCTGGCCTTCACATAACAGACTCTCCTCTGTTTTAGGGGGCCCCTATAGTAATGCTTTCCAGATGTTTCCGCAAGCAGAGCCAACTTCCTCTAACACACCATTTGCAAACGTCAGCAAAATCATAAACTGGTTAGATACTACAGGATCAAAACATTCACCTGAAGAAACAATACATGGAATGAAAGTGGAGTAAAAGAGTATTGTTACCGGAGTTGTCTAAATCCACTATTCTGAAGATGGTCTCCAAGGTTGCACAATGGCGGTACAGGGTCATACAGGTTGATATGGTAGTCTATCAAAGTAATCAGACCAATTATTTTACTACATTTAACATTGACTATATTTAACTGCTTGGCTTAAGTAAAACGTTTTAAACGTCTTCCACTACCACAATAATATGTTGAAAGAGTTAAAGCAAGTCCCACCATTTTTCTTCATGGAAAATTACCATCTAGTTTAAATATTGATGTCACAAATTAGATATCGAAACTTTAATTCTGAAATCCTCAGAGCAGAAACCCAAAGCAACTCCAACAGACTCTGCTCCAGTCATCACTCTGAACAGGTGAGACACACCTGGAATAGATACTCTCAATGAGTCATAATCAAAGATATGATTATAGAAAATGAGGATAGTCGTTCTTTTTTAGCAGGTTGTTGGACAAATGTTGTGTAACTACCCGTTTTTTTGTGTAATTTGTTACTGGAGAGCATGATAATTACATTTTGCAGCCAATAAATGGTGGTACATCATTGAGCATTAGCAGTCAATGTCACCTCAAATTCACAATGAATGCATGCTATGCTTTTGATTGATGAAATGATCTGAATCATCAATGACATCAGTCAGTTTTTGGATTTATTAGTTTCAAATATAAAGATACAAATAACCTACTTTAAAGATGCAGATGATGTTATAGTTAGACTTATGTTGATTTAAGTTGATTTGTTGCTCCCATTGCAATGTACTTTAAAACTGACATGCTGATGTAATCATCAATCGCCAATGCTGTTTTAATCAGAGAAAATAGCAGTGTGTTTTTGCAGCTGTAGAGACCAGATGTTTACCCATGCTAAATACATATCCATGTCATCCTGTTCCTAGCACTCTGAACACAGAATACTGCTTTCAGACATCCTGTGTGTTTTTAACAAGCCTAGTGTATAATCATGGTTTTATTATGGTTTTTAATGTCACACTCTAATATTAGATAGATGCATATTGCATCAGAATAATGGAAAGCATGAGGGACAATTGTTGCCTTTTTTCTCCTCTGAATGAAATGCATTTGATCGCCTTTTCTGCACAGCGAAGTTGACCCACTGGGCACACACTGGTTGAATCTACGTTGATTCCACGTAATTTCAATTAAATTACGTGGAGTCAACGTGGAATAGATGTTGAATTGATGTCTGTGCCTAGTGGGGAATGTCATGTAGGCCACTGTATGTAAAAATCTTAGGAGTAAAAGTCCGTTATTGACTTGTTGCAGGTGCCGATGGGAACCCCTTTCAGACATAAAACAGTTCCTGCTGAGGGGTCTGAACCTGCAGCGAGAGCCTCGGATGGAGGGGCTGGACTGGCCTCACTGAGGGAGCAGTGGAAGGCTGTGTTCGCAACTCAACACAGTGACTCTCAGACAACACTGGACAGCAATGGTATGGCGCCGGAGGAGATGGCTGCTAACCAATTGTGCTATTGTGTGTGTTTTTTCGCGTTATTTGTAACATATTTTGTATTTTTACTTATCTATTTTTTACTTAACACTTATTTTTCTTAATACTGCATTGTTAGTTAAGGGCTTGTTAGTAAGCATTTCACTGTAAGTGAATACCTGTTGTATTCGGCGCATGTGACAAATACAATTTGATTTGATTTGAAAGCTGTGTAATGTAACTCACTGAAATTGAACATTTTATTAAATCTAGATAATGAATCTGAGATTCCCACCATTTGTTTGAGTCATGTATTACTACACAGATTTGTTGAAGTCATTCTCTATTTTAGTAGTGAACTCCACGCCAGAGTTCTCTGGAAACACAACAGGGCCACACTGCTGTCAACTGGTTTCTCAGATCTTCATACAAGGTTTGTGTCATATGATAGTTTTCCAATTTTACTGCCTAACTTATAGCACAAATAATCACAATCTTGGACAAATAAGTTTAGTTAATCCAACAGATCTGACAAACACTGAAAAACCTTGCAAGTATGGTTTCCCACATTTGGAGTGACTCTGGTCTGTGGTCTGTCTGTCTCTGCTAGACCTGGGCTGGGAGAACTGGATCATCTACCCAGAGAGCTTCACCTTCACCCAGTGTGCAGCCTGCACCCCACAGCTGAACCCCGCAGGTCCACGGTGTGGGGCACACCTTTCCCCACAGGACCCCCCTCCACAGGTAAAGCATGCAACCCTGGCCTCTCAACCAAGAATGTTGAAGCTGCACTAAAAACATTGAAACTTTGTCACACTGCAAAAGCATTAAAGAAAAGTTGGCGTATGATTTTTAAAAGTTTACAGTCAAATGCACATTTTGCAGACACAATGTACAGTCGTGGTCAAAAGTTTTGAGAATGACACAAGTATTGGTCTTCACAAAGTTCGCTGCTTCAGTGTTATGAGATATTTTTGTCAGATGTTACTATGGTATACTGAAGTATAATTACAAGCATTCTATAAGTGTCAAGGGCTTTTATTGACAATTACATTAAGTTTATGCAAAGAGTTAATATTTGCAGTGTTGACCCTTCTTTTTCAAGACCTATGCAATCCGCCCTGGCATGCTGTCAATTAACTTCTGGGCCACATCCTGACTGATGGCAGCCCATTCTTGCATAATCAATGCTTGGAGTTTGTCAGAATGTGTTGGTTTTTGTTTGTCCACCCGCCTCTTGAGGATCGACCAGAGTTTCCTGGCCATGGACGCAAAATGTTGATGTTTTGTTCCCCGAGCCACTTAGTTATCACTTTTGCCTTAGGGCAAGGTGCTCCATCATGCTGGAAAAGGCATTGGTCGTCACCAAACTGTTCTTGGATGGTTGGGAGAAGTTGCTCTCGGAGGATGTGTTGGTACCATTCTTTATTCATAGCTGTGTTCTTAGGCAAAATTGTGACTGAGCCCACTCCCTTCGCTGAGAAGCAACCCCACACATGAATGGTCTCAGGATGCTTTACTGTTGGCATGACACAGGACTGATGGTAGCGTTCACCTTTCTTCTCCGGACAAGGTGTTTTCCGGATGCCCCAAACAATCGGAAAGGGGATTCATCAGAGAAAATGACTTTACCCCAGTCCTCAGCAGTCTAATCCCTGTGCCTTTTGTAGAATATCAGTCTGTCCCTGATGTTTTTCCTGGAGATAAGTGGCTTCTTTGCTGCCCTTCTTGACACCAGGCCATCCTCCAAAAGTCTTTGCCTCACTGTGCGTGCAGATGCACTCACACCTGCCTGCTGCCATTCCTGCGCAAGCTCTGCACTGGTGGTGCCCCGATCCCGCAGCTGAGTCAACTTTAGGAGACGGTCCTGGCGCTTGCTGGACTTTCTTCGGCGCCCTGACGCCTTCTTCACAATAATTGATCCTCTCTCCTTGAAGTTATTTATGATCCGATAAATGATTGATTTAGGTGCAATCTTACTAGCAGCAATATGGGCTCCCGAGTGGCGCAGCGGTCTAAGGCACTGCATCTCAGTGCTTGAGGCGTCACTACAGACCCCCTGGTTCGATTCCAGGCTGTATCACAACCGGCCGGGATTGGGAGTCCCATAAGGAGGCGCACAATTGGTCCGGGTTTGGCCGGTGTAGGCCATCATTGTAAATAAGAATTTATTCTTAACTGACTTGCCTAGTTAAATAAAAAAATATATATCCTTGACTGTGAAGGGCTTTTTGTGCAAAGCAATGATGACGGCACATGTTTCCTTGCAGGTAACCATGGTTAACAGAGGAAGAACAATGATTTCAAGCACCACCCTCCTTTTAAAGATTCCAGTTTGTTATTCTAACTCAATCAGCATGACAGAGTGATCTCCAGCCTTGTCCTCGTCAACACTCTCACCTGTCTTAACGAGAGAATCACTGACATGATGGCAGCTGGTCCTTTTGTGGCAGGGCTGAAATGCAGTGGAAATGTTTTGGGGGAATTAAGTTAATTTTCATGGCAAAGAGGGACTTTGCAATGAATTGCAATTCATCTGATCAGTCTTCATGACATTCTGGAGTATATGCAAATTGCCATCATCAAAACTGAGGCAGCAGACTTTGTGAATATTAGTATTTGTGTCATTCTCAAAACGTTTGACCACGACTGTAGATGTGCGGCTATTCCATCTGATTCCATAGAAGTGGCTATCGGTGCTTTGTCTGAACAAGTGATAAAATAGAATGTGTTGTGCATCTCTCAGTACAAGGTCACAGGTTTAAGGGTTAGTGCCTTGTTCATCTAATTGGTTCTCACACTTGTTCAGCCAGGAAATGGTAGACTCAATCAGACAGAGCAGATGTCTTAACAACCAAATATGATTTAAGGGTAAAATTAGGACACTATTGTGACTAGCCTACCTCTTATTTTTTACCACAACGCAGGTATTGCACTTTCCTTAATTGTTTTGGTTTTCTTCTCCCTTTTTACCCACTGAACAAATCTGCTACTGCACAGATCATACCGGATTACTTAATTGTATTACTATAGTCTTTCATTTCAGATGATCAACCTCGCTAAGAAGCAACCTCGCTAAGAAGCATAATGATATCAAAATACTGAATCAAATAAAATCTACGTTTATTGTTCGCGTACACAGATTTACAGATGTTATTGCAGGTGCAGCGAAACGCTTGTGTTTCTAGCTCCAACAGTGCAGTAATACCTAACAATAATAATCAGAAAAAAACAATACACACATAATCCAGAAAAATAATATAATTTAAATTAAGAAATATCAGAACGAGCGATGTCAGCAGGGTGGCAGCCGGCTAGAACAGTGATTAAGGTTCAGGGCAGGGTGCTGGGCGGAGGCCGGCTAGTAGTGACTGTTTAAAAGTCTGATGGCCTGGAGATAGAAGCTGTTTCTCAGTCTCTAGATTCCAGCTTTGATGCACCTGTACTGTCTCCGCCGTCTAGATGGTAGCGGGGTGAACAGGCCGTGGCTCGGGTGGCTGAGGTCCTTGATGATCTTCTTGGCCTTCCTGTGACCGGGTGCTGTAGATGTCCTGGAGGGCAGGCAGTGTGCAGGGAGTACAGGAGGGGGCTGAGAACACACCCCTATGGGGCCCCCGTGTTTAGGATCAGCGTGGCGGAGGTGTTGTTGCCTACCTTCACCACTTGGGGGTGGCCCATAAGGAAGTCCAGGACCCAGTTGCACAGGGAGGGGTTCAGAGCCAGGGCCCTGAGTGCTACGGGGCGATAGTCATTTAGTTCAGTTACCTTCACTTTCTTGGGTACAGGAACAATGGTGGACATCTTGAAGCAAGTGGGAACAACAGACTGGGATATGGAGAGATTGAATATGTCTGTAAACTTTTCAAACTGTGATCTGAAAGTTACTTACAGTTCAGTGACCTTTCCTTTTTTAGGTTCCTGCTGCAAACCTGCATCCCGACACCTGGTGCCAGTGCTTTACCTGGATGACTACAACACACTGGTCATCTCCTCTGTGTATCTGACCCGGAGCTGCAGCTGCACACCACAGATCAACCCCCATCACCCTACAAACTAAACATGTCAATTTTTCAACTGTTTTATACTATAGTTTAGAGCTCTGTATTCTACATGTTATATACTGTACATGGTCATGCTCACATAAACCCCCACCTCCCTACTAACTAAAAATGTCCATTCTCCAAGTGTTCTATACTATGGTATAGATTTCTGTAAATTGGACCTACTTCATTATGTATGGTCCTGCTCACAGAACTGATGTCGCAAATCAAAACATAGGGTTACTTTGAATGAGGTGTTACTTTGACTGTCTGTTGTTGCTGATCTAGTTTTTTGGGAGTTCTTATAACTATAATCACCATAATACTGTTCATGGAATTTACCTACTTTATTGTATAGTTATTGGGGCTGACATGCAAAGCATCATTGTGGTTTTGTCGAAATAGCTTCATTATATTATGTAATACGTTTTTATCCAGTGTAAGTACAGTACATTCAGAAAGTATTCAAACCCCTTGACTTTTTCCACATTTTGTTACATTACAGCCTTATTCAATCTACACACAATACCCCATAATGACAAAGCAAAAACAGGTTTAGACATTTTTGCAAATGTATTCAAAATAAAAAACGGAAATATCACATTTACATAAGTATTCAGACCCTTTACTCAGTACTTTGTTGAAGCACGTTTGGCAGCGATTACAGCCTCGAGTCTTATTTGGTATGACGCTACAAGTTTGGCACACCTGTATTTGGGGAGTTTCTCCCATTCTTCTCTTCAGATTCTCTCAAGCTCTGTAAGGTTGGATGTGGAGCGTCACTGCACAGTTATTTTCAGATCTCTTCAGAGATGTTCGATCAGGTTCAAGTCTGGGCTCTGGCTCGGCCACTCAAGGACATTCAGAGACTTGTCCCGAAGCCACTCCTGCATTGTCTTGGCTGTGTGCTTAGGGTCGTTGTCCTGTTGGAAGGTGAACCTTGCCCCAGTCTGAGGTCCTGAGCGCTCTGGAGCAGGTTTTCATCAAGGATCTCTCTGTACTTTGCTCTGTTCATCTTTCCCTCAATCCTGACTAGTCTCCCATTCCCTGCATTTGAAAAACATAACCACAGCATGATGCTGCCACCACCATGCTTCACCGTAGAGATGGTGCCAGGTTTCCTCCAGATGTGACGCTTGGCATACAGGCCAATGAGTTCAATCTTGGTTTCATCAGACTAGAGAATCTTGTTTCTCATGGTCTGCGAGTCCTTTAGGTGCCTTTTGGTAAACTCCAAGCGGGCTGTCATGTGCCTTTTACTGAGGAGTGGTTTCTGTCTGGCCGCTCTACCATAAAGGCCTGCTTGGTGGAGTGCTGCAGAGATTGTTGTCCTTCTGCAAAGAACTCTGGAGCTCTGTCGGAGTGACCATCATTTTCTTGGTCACCTCCCTGACCAAGGCCCTTCTACCACGATTGCTCAGTTTGGCCAGGCGGCCAGCTCTAGGAAGAGTCTTGGTGGTTCCAAACTTACAGAAATGTGTTGGTACCCTTCCCCAGATCTGTGCCTCAACACAACCCTGTCTCGGAGCTCTACTTACAATTCCTTCGACCTCATGGCTTGGTTTTTGCTCTGACATGCGCTGTTAACTGTGGGACCTTATATAGACAGGTGTGTGCCTTTCCAAATCATGTCCAATCAATTGATTTTACCACAGGTGGACTCCAATCAAGTTGTAGAAACATCTCAAGGATGATCAATGGAAACAGGATGCACCTGAGCTCAATTTCGAGTCTCATAGCAAAGGGTCTGAATACTTTTTTAAATAAGGTATCCGTTTTTAATTTTTTATGCATTTGCAATCATTTCTAAAAACCTGTTTTTGCTTTGTCATTATGGGGTATTGTGTGTAGATTGATGAGGAAATAAATCAATTTTAGAATAAGGCTGTAACGTAACAAAATGTGGAACAAGTGAAGGGGTCTCAATTCTTTCAGAATGCACTGTATGTAAATATGATAGGGGAGAATGGGGTAAAGTTGAGCAATTTTTTACATTCAGCATCACTCCGTCAAGGGGAATATAGTATTCTTTCTAATTTCTATTGGGTTCAGGTCTGGAGACTGGATAGGCCGCTCCAGGACCTTGAGATGCTTCTTACGGAGCCACTCCTTAGTTGCCCTGGCTGTGTGTTTCGGGTCGTTGTCATGCTGGAAAACCCAGCCACGACCCATCTTCAATGCTCTTACTGAGGGAAGGAGGTTGTTGGCCAAGATCTCGCAATACATGGCCCCATCCATCCTCCCCTCAATACAGTGCAGTCGTCCTGTCCCCTTTGCAGAAAAGCATCCCAAAAGAATGATGTTTCCACCTCCATGCTTCACGGTTGGGATGGTGTTCTTGGGGTTGTACTCATCCTTCTTCTTCCTCCAAACACGGCGAGTGGAGTTTAGACCAAAAAGCTATATTTTTGTCTCATCAGACCACATGAGCTTCTCCCATTCCTCCTCTGGATCATCCAGATGGTCATTGGCAAACTTCAGACAGGCCTGGACATGTGCTGGCTTGAGCAGGGGGACCTTGCGTGCGCTGCAGGATTTTAATCCATGACGGCGTAGTGTGTTACTAATGGTTCTCTTTGAGACTGTGGTCCCAGCTCTCTTCAGGTCATTGACCAGGTCCTGCCGTGTAGTTCTGGGCTGATCCCTCACCTTCCTCATGATCATTGATGCCCCACGAGGTGAGATCTTGCATGGAGCCCCAGACCGAGGGTGATTGACCATCATCTTGAACTTCTTCCATTTTCTAATAATTGCGCCAACAGTTGTTGCCTTCTCACCAAGCTGCTTGCCTATTGTCCTGTAGCCCATCCCAGCCTTGTGCAGGTCTACAATTTTATCCCTGATGTCCTTACACAGCTCTCTGGTCTTGGCCATTGTGGAGAGGTTGGAGTCTGTTTGATTGAGTGTGTGGACAGGTGTCTTTTATACAGGTAACGAGTTCAAACAGGTGCAGTTAATACAGGTAATGAGTGGAGAACAGGAGGGCTTCTTAAAGAAAAACTAACAGGTCTGTGAGAGCCGGAATTCTTACTGGTTGGTAGGTGATCAAATACTTATGTCATGCAATAAAATGCAAATTAATTACTTAAAAATCATACAAAGCGATTTTCTGGATTTTTGTTTTAGATTCCGTCTCTCACAGTTGAAGTGTACCTATGATAAAAATTACAGACCTCTACATGCTTTGTAAGTAGGAAAACCTGCAAAATCGGCAGTGTATCAAATACTTGTTCTCCCCACTGTATGTTCTGTGTAACTGTCAATTTGGGGCAGTTGACTTGACATATGGTCACGGGTTAGAACCATGATTGTTCTGTACTGGAGCTAGTCAGTCCTCAAAAGTGTGTGTTGTTTGTGTACAATAAACATCACGGAAAGAACAAGGTTTGTTGTGGTCCTTCCACGCACGTCCTCTACATTAGCTGTACAGTGAGTTATTAGTTAGCTAGACTAACAGTGCTATCCAGATTTAGGGTAGCTACTGAGGTGATTGAGCATTAGCTAACGTTAGCTCACACTCAGTGAGATTCGCAAACCACAACAATGTTGTGTATCCCTGGAAATAATCAGAATTTATGTAAACATCACAGTTTTGAAAACATAGCTTGTCCAAAAAAAGTGGTTTGTTAGCAGAACTTACCGTGAGACAGGGTAAGTTAAACCGCCTACAAATTTCTGTACTGCATGAAATATTACCACTACGTTTTTAAAACCATGTCTATCTTTATTTCCCAAATACAATTCAATTCAACACAATCACAATCGCTTTTTTGTCTTTTAACCATCTTTTAACACAGGCTTAACGCCTAACAAACACTTTGTACTTTTTAAAAACACTTTTAACATAGGCCAGACCCTGTTGTTACCTCTTATCCCAGCAATAATGCCTTGCAATATGCCTGGGAAGAAAACACTTCCATTTGCTCAACCATTGGCTGAAGTTACCCCATGGCCATTGGCTCAACTTACCCCAAGGCAAACATTTCGACTATATTAGCCCACACAGCTACAAGGAAGTACTTTCATGCTAGGTTAAGGACCTCATATTGAAGCTTATAGAGATCCCAACTATGTATAGAACAATCTTAAAATGATCTACTTTGGTTTGGAATAGATAAAAGCATCATGATACCTCTAACACAATACATTTATTTGACTTGTTGAAAATTGTTTTTTTGGACCTAACTTGCGTACCACTTTTTCCATGTGGTTTCTGCCTTTACACACTCCATGAAATGATGACCTGTTCCTAAATATTTGGTCAAATTATGAATTTTGTGTATGGTTTCCTAGAAATAAGGGTGGCTCAACTTCCCCCTTGGCTGAACTTACCCCAGTCTCCCCTATTTTCTATGCAGGCTACAGAGACAATGTGTATCATTTCTAAAATGTTATATGTTTTTATTACTGATGGATTATTTTGTGGCAGTAACATTAGCTCTCTGCTAGGGAAACAATGGAGACATTTTATTTTTATTACAAGTTTTATTATTCATTTGGACAGTGGATAACCTCCTTTAAATTCATATTATATAGATCAGTTAAGTGTAGTAAGGCATTTTATGTTGCATACATTTATCACACTCAAATTGCACATTCGGAATTAACGTGAACATGCTACGTTTCTAAATCGCATTTTGGCTAAAAAGATACATTCATTTGTTTACCTAAAAAAAGATATGACAATTCAATCTCATAGAATAACTAAAAGGGGGGCACTTAATGCAGAAAATATCTGCTCTTCCTGTACAACAACATAATCATAATTTTGGTCCATGACTCAGCTTCATTCATTGCTATGACAGCCCTTGAAACACAGGAAAGTAATCATTGAGCATTGTTTATTGTACTGGGACACAAATGAGAGCCAATGATGAGACATATCAGCAGTTTCATTACCTTTCGTCCTACCTCTGTGTTGTATTTCTCAGGGGTGGCTGCACTCATTGTTGTGGTGTAAACAGTAGTCCTGGGAAACAAGGCATAAGGTTTATATATAAGACACACCTATCTACCC